CATCCTTAAGCATGTTACAAATTAAAGAAGATCTCATCTGGGCTCGTCAATATCTACCGTATATGATCTACTTAACATAAAATTAACATAATTATGGTAAAGTCTAGTCAACAAAACAACACTTGATACTCTTATTAAAGCTCTTATATTTTGAAACAAAAAATTGTCTGTCGTTTACATCTAGTACCTACTTCTGATGGTGGATTTTTGTCGGGATGGAATCTAATAATACTCATTTCTATTCTGCAGTTTGATTCTGCCTAAAGGAATTGTTAATATTGGACTATTATTATTATAAAAATAAAGTTTGTATGTATGTTTTGTGTGTTTGCATATTTGTTACTCCTTCACTCTCCTCCTGTGTGAAAAGTATACAGATAGAAGATAACCTAAAGTAACACATACCTACCTACTACAGATCGAGCACATAGACCGAGCAAAGCGAGGGCAAGTCATTAGTTATATATATATATATATATATATATATATATATATATATATATATATATATATATATATATATAAACGTACCCACAAACTTTCACATTTATAATATTAATACGGATATATTAATAACTAGCATTGCCCAAGGCGCCGCCCGCGTTTAGATGATGAAAAACCAAATTCTTAGGTTTTACATACTAGTATACTCTTACATTGCAGTTTTTGTATTTTTTCTCACAAATGAGACATTTTCCCGCGGTAAAAAGTATCCTATATGTTGACCCGGATAACCAGCTATCACCATACCAAATTTCATCAAAATCGCTTCAGTGGTTTTTCTGTGATGCGGTAACAGACAGACAGACAGACAAAAATTCTAAAAACTATAGATTCGGCCTCTGTATCGATAATAATGTTCTTGTAAATAAGATGTTCCAAAAAATAGTTAATGTACAGATTCGGCTTAGTTATAATTTTATTATATGTATAGATTAATAATATTGTAATAGGGATTCATAATAATATTTTTAAAATTGAAAATTCTTTTTCTAAATTTTTGCATGAACTCAAAGATCACAAACCTTATTCAAATTTTAACAGAACGACGTCTGTCGGGTTGGCTAGTTATAAGAAAAGTTTTTATTAAGTTTTTTTAAAAGTTAGTACTAAGGCTTATAGTTTTAAAGCGTCACAAAACATTTTCTAAGAATTATGCTTGGCATTTACTGTCTGTTACAGTGGTCGGAACTATCTCTATGTCGAAGATCACAAGTTAAGTCACGTTCCAGACAAACATTTATATTGGATATGTAAGTATTTATTGCGATTTATATGTATGTCTGTGTATTTTTTATGCGTCATTGAACCCCAACCAGGACGTCCGAGGCGGCTGTTAACAAAAATAATAAAAACGTCTAAGCAAATTATTTTTTGTACTAATATTTAAAAGTCGTTTGACGTTCTGTAACTTTAACTTATTTTATACTAGCTATATACATATAGCTTCGCTCGGGTTCGTCTTTAGAATAACAAAAAGAAATCTATCCCACGGGAACCGTACATTTCCGAGATAAAAAGTAGCCTATGTGTTATTCTGATTTATAAATATATTATTGTGAAGTTTCATTAAAATCCATTCAGTAGTTTTTGCGTGAAAGAGTAACCAACATCCATACATCCTAACTTTCGCATTTATAATATTAGTAGGATTATAACTAGGATAAATTGTATTGGGTATATTTTCATAATAGGCTTTTCTTTTGTACTACATGATTATAATTCTGACATATAGGTACCACCAGCGTATCTTTTACTTTCGCACTTTGCCCTCATGCATATTATGATGCAAAGTTATATCTTCAGATCTTTACAAAGATGTCATAAAGTATATGATAAACAATTATTATAGCAAATCAAATAATGTAAAATATACAAAATTAAGTGAAATTTGTTTGAAAACTCGCTTGTAGTCTTATTAGAATATTTTGTGATTGAAGTACAATACAATTTAGTTACATTGAGATGATGTGGAGTGGAAGGGTTTGAAACTAGTAATAAAGACTTCCCCTAAGTTTAATGCTTGTTATAACAATTTAAGTATAGCTATTAGTAGTCCCTATCAACTTGTACACAAATAACGTGCAATTTTCAATCAGTATATTCAGTGTTTCTGTTCGAGCTTTTTTAATGATATTTTGAGAAAATTAGCTTTAAAAATTGGTTATATTTTAACTAAATTACTGAAAATATACATATTGTGAGGAACGGGGGTCTTTTCTCGTACGTACTCTGCTAGGCGAACGCTAACGTCGTTGTTTGTAAACAAAAACCTTATCCTAGTAGATTATTCTAGATTCTTCTAGGTTTGTGACTTTTCCTTATCCTAGGTTTATGATATTTTTAAGATTAATGTAAGTTTTAAATAAAACTATCTTTTCGGATTATTCTCTATATATTCTTATCTCCCGATGGAGGGTCTCTCCCGTGACCATGGATGCTGTAAAGCATTCGAAACGTCGGGAACCAAAAATCAAAATAAATCCGCGAAATAATCCTAAAAGATAGTTTTATTTAAAATGTCAAATATTCACGTAAATCTAGGAAAGTATTATTAATGTAAGTTTTTATTGTATTATATGTGAAATTTTCCATTATGCGATGTGTGCAATAAATCTGTCACACCTACATACAAAAGAAATATTTTGAAAATTTCCCATTTTATACTTAGTTACTTCTTAGACAGGATTCGATCTTACACCGATGGGTTAACACGTTTTCTCCACGTTTCCACGATTCGGGGTATAACAATAATAATTTACTAACTGCTGTTAATAAATATATTTTTGTAACAAAAACCCAATTTTCTTATTTGATAACACGGAACTCGAACCTAGTACCCACTAACGATCTCCCTAGGTTAGGGAACTGTTATAAAATCGAAGATTTTCTGATATTAAACATTCTAAAGTACGTTTATGTGAAGAGAGTAAATGATTAGTATTTAAGTCAACAAAATTTAAATTCGATAAAGCAATAAATACCTATTGAGAATAAAAATTTGCTACAATATTTAAGCCGGCACACGCACAAAATGATATCTAACTCAATTGTACACGATAGAAAGTTGGTCCCTTTCGCATTTACAGTTTCCTTTTACCTCTATAGCAGATATTGTAGCGAAAAGTTCACGAAAAGGTTCGTTCCTTCACCGAATATAGGAGAATATATAAAAATATACTTATTCATACCTATCGTTGGATTTAGATACCTATAGGTAATAAAGTGTAAAGCATACAAACAATATTTCTAATATTTGAATGTGAAAGTTTAGAGTTTGGATGTTTATATGGATGTTTGTTACTCAATCACGCCAGAACCGCTGAACGAATCTGGATGAAATTTAGCACTGAGATTGTAGTCTGGAATAGCACATAAGCTACTTTCTATCCCGGAAAAAATTACGGTCCCCGTGGGATAGATTTGTTTTTCTAGAGTCGAACCTGATCGAAGCAAAGGTGAGCCGCTCGTAGATACATACGTTATACGTAGGTAAATTATAATTTAAATGATTTTGCATCTTATTTGACCTATATTTTTAATAGCTATTTCCGACGATATTAGAATATTAAAAACTTAAAATTTTATAAGCAGAATATAGCTAACTCACAAACTTAACTATTATGTTAAATGTCTATTGTTCAAATAATATTATAATATTATAAGACTGGCTAAATCCAGCACAGATAATAAACCAATAAACATAAATCCCCAAAATTCGAAAATGAAACGTAATTAACATCGACAAAGAAACAAAACGTAAACCGGAACAGCGCGATCCGAATTTCAAGCAAAGCAAACGCAAATTCCTTCATTACAGCCAACAATGCCTACAGTCGGCTACATACAAATAACTGGCAGCGTCCAATTTAAATAACAGCCTCGCAAAGCTGAAAAACAACCCGTAACCAAAGTTGAGAATAAATTAGCATCCACCCCAGCCCCCCTTTGCCAATGTGTACATTGTGCAAAATATTATTTGCCTTGCCAGACAATAATAGGATCTATTGCCACGCCCTGACATGTTAGCTTTGAGGGGCCCCGCCCAGGCCTTCTCGCAGCATCATTGGTAGAGACTGCATCCGTCTCCACTACACGTATATGCCGACTCTCTCCCACGCGTAGCTTTTTCCTCGACGCCCGAGGGGTAAATGTTTTGGTAGGAAACACACACGAGGGTTTTCCAGAGCCGCGTATTGTCGGGGCGTTTCGTTAAGAGATATTTTTTACGCGCATTTTATTCGGAGATACCTGAATTGTGTGTTAGAATTCGCTTTATGAGATTTTTTCAATAGGCAGAGTCCTTTAACGCAGGATTAAAGGATCTTTCTATACGTATCTCCGTAAACAGTTACTTTTTCTCGTTTTTGTTAGGTCCTTTTAATATTTTTGTCGTCTTTTTTATATATTTGGATATTTTTTTATTATATTTTTATATGAAATTTGTATTTTATTTTAATAATATAATTGTAATAGACATGATATTATTATGAAAGTTTTAATATAACATTTTAAATAATCATACGTAATGTTTTGTTATAATAAAATATACAATAAATTATATATAAATAATAAGCAATAGTTATTTATATATATTTAATAGTAGGTACATAGGTAATATGTAGAAGAAAACTTCACATGGCCATTATAGACATAACATTTGTAATTTCACTTGAAGCCATTAAAAAAATATTAGTTTAAACGAGATCAAATCAACTTACAATGAAATAAAAAGTCCCGCCAACTCAAAATAAATACCGCAACAAAGTTAAATCGATAGGGAGCCTAATAATTATTAGTCAACGGCCTGAAATTCATGCACAAAGCTCCGACCCGCAGTAATAATAACGACAATTGTTGTGTTTACTGAAACGTAAACGAGCGGAGTGGGTGACCCCCCGGGGGCGGGGCCTGCGGGCCGGCCCTCGCGCCGTCGGGGCCCACTGCAGTGCACGTCGCGCCTCGAGCCCGCCAGCATCTCTGACATGTGACGGCACAGCATGGAAGACGACTTGAGCATGTACCGCGACATGATCATCGAGGGCGATCTACCGCTCGATCTGAGACCACCGCCGAGACTCTACTTACCACACTATTTACGTGACGACCGCGAAGAATATCCTCAAGACGACACTTACGTTTCGGTAGACGAAGATACGCCAGATTTACCGCCGCCATCCAGCGATTCTGAGAGATACGACGCGTCCAGTCCTAGTGATAAACCCAGTTCGCCCAAGAAAGCAAAACAAAAGTCCTCGTCGCAACTTATCAAGCCGCCCTACTCTTATATCGCACTAATAACGATGGCCATCCTACAGTCTCCGCATAAGAAATTGACGCTGAGCGGGATCTGTGAGTTTATAATGACTAGATTTCCATATTACCGCGAAAAGTTTCCGGCGTGGCAAAACTCCATCCGTCACAATTTGAGCCTTAACGATTGTTTTATTAAGATCCCCCGGGAACCTGGTAATCCCGGGAAGGGGAATTACTGGACGCTAGATCCGTTAGCTGAGGATATGTTTGATAATGGCAGTTTTTTGCGCCGTCGGAAGAGATACAAGCGGCCGGCGCCGTCCCTGCAGCACGCTCATGCAGTGGTTGCGATGCTTGCAAGAGAAGCCTACGCGCCGCTTTTGCCTTTACCGTGTTATCTGCCACCGTCGCCCTTACTGTCCTTGCCGCGCCCGCCGCCGGCAGCCTTGCGACCAGTGCCTCTCCCGCCACGGGTCCCGGAAACCACAGACACTCGAGGAAAGAGGTCCAGGAATGGTTTCTCGATTGAATCTATAATTGGTTCACAAGATAATCAATCAGAGCCACGGCGAAGTGCCTTCTCGCCTCTGCACCAAGCCACCGGCCCGCCGGACGACTGGGCGAGATGAATGTTTTTTAACGGGTGTGTCTCTAATGCTAGTCATTTTTAGAGCACACCGTCGGACTGGTTATGTTTTGAACAACTATTGAATGTGTTCGGGCGGTTGTATTGAAAGTGTAGTGTCATTTTTGGGGAAACATAAAAATGTACACGCGACGAGTATATTTTGTTAGAGTCAGTTTTGGTTGGAACATATTTATGACCAAAGCAATCGTAGTTACCAGGTATTGCGTATTTTTATAAGTGTTTCTTGTAAAATTGGAATATTCAAAATTTGCAGAAATATCTACAGCATGTTTAAAATGATAATGATTTTTAAATAAATATTATGAATTTCGTCCGCTAATTAAATATAAGATAAAGATATTAGTGTAACAAAAATGTTTTTTTATCACGTGTTTCAGTAATGAAAGAGGGTTTAGCGTTTATTACATCCGCTGTTTGTTTTTCATATTTTACTATTAATTTTATATTTTACTTCAAATATCCTATGTCTGGGACAATTATTTTATAATGATTTTAAAATGTAAATATAAAATATTAATTTCTAGCATTATTCTATTCAAATTATTATAATTATTACTAAAATAATTTATAAAGAAGGCGGTGTTTTTTTTTTAATTTCAGAGTTTAATTTTAAAAAACTTGCGATGCCTGTATATAAATTTAAATCTAGTCATTTTTTGTACAAAGTAGGTAAAGTATAGAATTGTAAATATTATGTAAAATTTCTTTAACCTTAGATAGCTAATAAGTAGACGTCGTTCAGTAAGAACTATTTTGCCAAAAAAAATACGCTGTATTTATTATGTTTTAATTGTAGTATATTTTTGTGTAACTATTAAGTATTAAGATACAAAATATATAACTATAGAATATAATTTGACATTTTATTTATTTTACTTGTTATGGAATCAAAATATTTTTTAACTTACATATAAATTATTCATGGCTTCTGTTAGCTACGGCTTTACAAAACCGTTTCACTTATAATCCAATATTAAGATAAATAAAACAAACATAAAGCATGAATTTACATAAACCTATACAAGGTGAATATAAATAACTATATATAAATATAAATAACTATAGAAATTAAATTAAAAAAAACTTTCTTTATTAGAAAAAATATTTTCTAACTCAAATTATTACGCGGGCGAGGTCGCGGGCGAATATTAGTGATTCATACTGCAGAAATCACTATTATTTGTGAATAAACATCTTAAAATAAACTAATATACATTAACATACAATCTAGTGCGGTATCAACTTGTACGTTACCTTAAAACAATGTTACAGTAATATTAACATTAGATTGCAAATGTTTGTGGAAGATTTGCACTAGTACAGAATTTGTTTAAGCCTGCTAATTTTGTTATATGAGCTACAATGTTGCTGATATTTCTAGGGTTAGTGCTAAACTGAACTTTTTTAAAGTTTATATATTTTATCTTATAATATTAACACCTCCAGGTGAATTTCTAAGAAATTAATTAAAATTCTAAGAAATCTATTGTTAACTGTAACGCCGGCGTGTCCGCGCTCGTGGAGGGATTAAATGAGCAATTCTTGTACAATATATTTATTTAGTGTAACTTGGAAACGGCTCTAACGTTTCGGTTCAGATTTTGTATTTAGATATGGTTTTGCGTTTTAAGTTTATCTATAGAGGTGTATTTTCAGAACAAAAGCTGTTTTTCCGAATAAAATAACACGATTTTACAAAAAAAAGCGGTCGCCCAGATGCTTTTATGTATGCAAGAAAATTTCTTTTTTAAATCTTGCCTTTGCAGGAATTCAATAATATGTGTGGCCCAGTCAACTAGCTATCTAATTACCTAACATTGTAATGTTAGATAATTAGCTAAAAATTTCTTTACCTTTGTTTAGGCATATCATAAGTTTCCTTAAGCTACATAATCTGATATCCATATCACGAGTTATTGGAGGTCACGAAAATAGTTTTTTTGTAAATATTTTAGTTTTCTGTATACGCTCTCTTTCAAAAATAGTCAATCGTTTTAAATATTTATTAAAATCTACAGGTCTTAGTAGTGGAGTAGTTAGGTTGGTTTAAAACAAGAAATTGCTGTACCTTCTCTATATATTTTTTAACCGACTTGGAATAGGAGTTTCGTTGTTGGTTAGCCGTATTTTATGCTATTTGTGCTATATTTTAAATACATAAATGCTTCGCAATTTAATTTGCATTTCTATTCAATATTATATTTAACTAGCGTTTTCTCGCGGCTCCGCCCGAATCTTATAGTTTTATAGAATTGGGCTAAAAAAAGAATCTTTTAAATCGGATTAACGCATTCATATAGACACCCAAACAAGCATACAAAGTCTTCATCTTTATAATATATGAAGTATAGATTTACAAAACTTATATTAAATATATATAAAAATGTCAATTCTAAATACGGTAACACAGATTGTGACAATATTAAAAAAACACATCGATACTATCTGTACAATTGGAGAAGACTAGGTTTTTTCTATATTTTATTTATTCATTTTTTGTCTAAATGGCAACGTTTAGAAAATACATGTATGTAGGTAATAATTTGACTAAAAAGAATAGCTTGTTATACATAATTGCCTCTTGGCTGACAGTAAGTTAAAATATATAAGAATGCGTGTAACATAGTTACATATATGTCTACATAATTAAGGAATAAAACCAGTTATAAAACTATATATATATATATATATATATATATATATATATATATATATATATATATATATATATATATATATATATATATATATATATATATATATATTATTTCCCTTGGTCACGCCATCACGCGTGAGCGGCTGGACCGATTTAACTATTTTTTTGCGTTGTGTTTGTTATTGTCAGGAGAAGAAGGTTCTTATGAGAGAAAAAAATTAAAAATTAACGAAAAAAATATTCATAATGTATATGGCTAACGCTGGCTAATAATTATCTATATCTATTTAAAAGGTACCTAGCGACGAAGCCGAGGGAAGCGTGGGTGAGCCGCTAGTAACTTATAAATAAAGTATATAAAAAAGTATCGTGTAAAGGAATATGAGCAGTTTTTGAATATAACCTCAAGTATTATTATAACTGGATTACAGTCTAAAATAGATAATGAAGCAAATCATTAAAGTTTTTTAGGACGTTTTTTTGAATTTTTATTTACTAAAATTATTCTAAAGAGATTACTAAAATTTAGTTACTTATATTTTCCCGGTAAGCTACCGAAGACAAACAGACATATTCTATTTTTCCCAATATTATACATTCGAAATGTTCCACAAATAAGGTAGGAGAGACATCGAATTTTCGAAGATACGAATTTTTTTATATCTTCTATAATATAAAATTACACTTTTCTTTAATTTATATGTCACATAATGTAATTTGATAAAACTTCTTAGTTAATAAAACTTTTGAGGAACGAAAGCTTAAAACTAAAATTGAGCTTTTTATCACGTTTTTTTTTAATTCTTATTTCCTTAAAATTTAAATGGAAGATTAAAAATGGATGACGAATAATTAATTAATGATGATGTTCTCCTGACCGATTCCGGCCACGGCGGCCAATCTCATTGAGACTAGCCAACTGCGCAGGAGATATTATAGTGCTCAAGTGTAAGCGCAGACACAAATGCACTCTCTATTCCTGTCACTCTCATACTCCGGTGGGACGACTGCTCGACACGACCAGTGAGAGTTAAGGCGCAGGACCGACGGCTTTACGTGCTCTCCGAGGCACGGGGGTGAAACACCGCCAACTTCCCAACTCCGGGCTATTACTGAGGCTTACTATACAGCAAGACTCAGTAACTAAACTTGGCCCGACCCGGGACTCGAACCCAGGACCTCCGGGTGTGCAGCCGTACATGCTAGCCACTACACCACCGAGGCAGTTCAATTATATTAATTAATACACCCGAAATGAGAACTTCCTCTTTTTTTGGCGATTGTCTGAAAATGTGGACGGATTTAGTTAAATGTGACCTGGAGTAACACATTGGCTAATAAAATTTGCCAAGAGGTGGCGCTGTCTGTATATCTATAACAATAAATAAAGAGTCCATTTGTAATGTCAAAATAACAGCTTCTTACTAAACACATATGAAAGTACCTATATACGGTACTTATATGGAAAAAATTGTGTCTATTTACTGCGGCTAATGCCCACAACAGCTGGACCGATTTAGATGGGACTTTTACTGGTAACTAGATGATGCTATTGGGAGTAACTTTAGTTATCTTTGTTTTAGGAAAGTAAAAAAAAAGTGTTTTACGAAAAAAATTAAAACCCATGAAATTGTGAACAAAGTCCGCATACCTAGAGACGCGAGGACGTGCAAATTGAGGGTGAGTCGCTAGTTATAAATATAAAATGTGCCTGGCGACGCAAGCTAAGCGTAGGTTAATGTATAGTTATAAACAGTTTGATTTAATATATTACAGCAATTATTATATATAGCATTTTATTTTCAGTTAATAATAGGTATATCATTAGGTTTGGTTATTGAGATAGATGTTCATCATCATCAAAATTGTCGAATAAAAAAGACATAATTCATTTGGGTGTACAGATATATACCTATGTATTTATTGTATGTATATTGCGCGATATTTTTGCCAATTATAAAGGGGGTTAATATTGATTTATTTATCAACCGACTTCAAAATATGTACAAATTTCAAGAAAAAATCCATTTCTAAAGTGAACAATTATTATTTTCTAAGTAATTTTTCAGACGTTGATGTTGTGTCTCAGTTAAAAAGTAGTATATTAAATAATAATGTTTTTAATTTTATTATTACCGTATTTTCTATATTGTGTGTTTACTGATACTGGAACAGTAACCCATTTGACAGTTATATTTCATAATTTTTTTTTGTTTTTATAAGGCCCTTTTTGTATCCATACTAATACTATAATTTATATGAAAGTGTGTTTATTTGTTTTTTTGTTTGTCCTTCTTTCACGTTGAAACGGAGTGATAAAT